GAGCCACTCCAGGCTGGGAGCTTTCTGCTCCTCCATGGCCGTGTTTTGTTTCCATTTGCTGCCTCTGCACTTCCTTTCACAGTTCAGCTTTCAGCCAAATCACAAAGAACTTTTGCTGTCCCAGTCCTTTTTTTTTTTTTTTTTTTCCCTCCCCCCCCTTTTGTTTTCCACGTCCCTTTATGTTTTAAATATCAATAACCTATAAAGTATCTCTTATTTCTATTCCAGAATTTTCTCTTTCCTGGACGTGGTCACTCTGTGTCGTTGTGCTCAAGTTTCCAGGGTAAGAGCCTTCCTCCTTCCTGGTGGATTTTCACGGGATGTTGCATTTGGGTGACAATCCTCCCTGCCCACTCAGCTGAGGTTATTGAGTGTCCCCTGGAACTCCTGGAAAATTCCCATAGCTCCAGTGAGGGGAAATTCCAAGCTGGAGCAGCATTTTCCAGTGTCCCAGGTACAAAGGGCAGGGGGCTGATGTTTTGCCCAGAACTCTCCCCTCGTTCTGGGTTTTACTCCCTGCAACATGGGATGAGCCCAAAATGCCATCCTGTGGGTTTTGGTGGAAATTTTAATTCACAGAGATGCTGCACAATCAATGAAAGTTCATTTTCTCCTTGGGTGTAGTTGGAGTAAGCATGGAAATAAAGTGAGGGGTTGTAATTGGATTAATCCAGCTTGGATTATTTGCTTGGGAGAATTCCTCCAGCTGGACTGGAAGGTTCAATTTTCTGGAGCTGCCAGATTTATTCAGGTTTATTTCTTTTCCCTGCCAGGGTGGTGACCCAGGGAAGGTGTTGGGGTGCTGTCACCATCCTGCACAAACCCATCAATTCTGCCTCCACACCTCAGCCACCACTGATTTAATTCTCTAAGCACATTGGAATTCAAAGAAAAAAAAAAAAGCTTAAACATCATTAATTGCATTAAAAAATTGCTCTGTGTGGTGCCTGGGCATTGCATTGTCACTGGAAGGAGCTCCCAGCTGAAAGCAGCGTTGGCAGAAGGGGCTCTCAGGGATCCTGTGCCAATGTCAGGGTGCCCTCCTGGCCTGGCACAGCACAGGCTGTTCCTGCAGGAAGGTTCTGGAACGTTCCCTGCGCTGCCCATGGGATGATGCAGCCACTGGGGCCATACCCAGACCTTCAAACCAACATCAGCAGTGAGGTTTAAACCCCCAAAAACTCAATTAATGCTCAGTTTTGTCACTGGTTGTGACTCTGCACTAACTCCTGGCCAGGAGCTGCTGCTCTGTGCTGGGCAGGAGCTCGGTGCAGGTGGGATTTGGATGGAAAATCCCCCTGTGTTCACCCCTTCAAAACTCCCCTTGTTCACCTTGGTGCTGTAAATAAACTTTAAATTCACCTGAGGACACCGCAGCCACCTCTGAGTTCCTGCCTCTCCTCTGGAGCAGGAACCACGGCAGATTTTGGTGATTTAAACCAAACCCAACCCCTGTGGGGACTCACTGAGGTGCTGGGGAGGAAATTCCAGCCAGGAATGTGAAATTCCTGCACCTCCCAATGGAATAGAAGCAACCAGGGCACCTCTTCCCTGGCTGGGGGCTCAAAATTCTGAATTTTCAGAGCACCAAGCTCCTGGTGCCTTCTCCACCTGGGACAGAATGTTATTTCTCAAAGGAACAAATTGTGATTAGGTCCCCACTGATCTTTTTTATTTATTTATTTTTATTTTTTGTTTCATATTAACCACACATTTACGTTTTTTTCCCCTGATAAAGGCATGGAATGTTCTGGCCCTGGATGGCAGTAACTGGCAGCGAATTGACCTGTTTGATTTCCAGAGGGATATCGAGGTATAATTAAGTCACATACAAACTCATTTTTTTTTTCTTGTTCAAATGTAATTACACTCTAGAATGGATTAATATTCCCAGTGTAACCCTTTCTACCTTCCCTGGAGATAGAAATCATTAATTTCAGTTCTTCAGCTTGAGGGAGTTTTTAAAGCAATCCATTCAGCTTTTGAAAATGGACAGAATTCTGTATGCCTAGCAAGACTTAAGGGTTGTAATGGAAGGAAAGTAGTTTTTGTCTGTTCTAAAAACAGAAATTAGTAGAAAAATTACTTTTTTGGGGGAAAACTGCTGCTTGTATGGAAGAGAATTTAATCTATTGCTCTTTGCACTGTGAGGGCTGAATGTGTGTTGAGTCATGGCCTAAAATATTTGTAACTTTAAAATAAAAAATGGAAATTGAAGATGATTTGGGAAGGAGTTTCTGGTGCAAATATTCTGCAGTGGTTTTGCCCTTTGGTCCCAGGGGAAAGGTAAATCCTGTCTGGAACGTTCCCTGCACATACCCAGACCTTCAAACCAACATCAGCAGTGAGGTTTAAACCCCAAAAACTCAATTAATGCTCAGTTTTGTCATCTGTTATAACCCTGCACTAACTCCTGCCCTGGTCTTTGGGTCCAGATTTGAAATTTAAAATGTGTTATTAATTTCTGGATCACAAATGGTTGAATCTCTTTTTGAATCCCAACCATGGGCTGGTTCTGCTCAGAAATTGGAGTTTATCCATTGGCTGTGCTGAAATCTGGGGTGAGATTTCTGCTGAAATCTCACCNGGCCCTGCTGGTGCTCCATGGCCTGAGGGCTCCTGCCAGGCTCGCTGGGGTGAGCAGCCAGTGCTGTGGGGCAGAGCCACTCCAGGCTGGGGAGTTTCTGTTCCAGTGCTGTGGGGCAGAGCCACTCCAGGCTGTGGGGCAGGAGCCACTCCAGGCTGGAGATTTCTGTTCCCAGTGCTGTGGGGCAGAGCCACTCCAGGCTGGGAGGTTTCTGCTCCCGTTTCTGAGGGCAGGACCCACTCCAGGCTGGGGAATTTCTGTTCCCAATGCTGTGGGGCAGGAGCCACTCCAGGCTGGGAATTTTCTATTTCCCAGTGCTGTGGGGCAGGAGCCACTCCAGGCTGGGAATTTTCTGTTCCCATTTCTGAGGGCAGGAGCCACTCCAGGCTGGGAAGTTCTTGTTCCCAGTGCTGTGGGGCAGGAGCCACTCCAGGCTGGGGGGTTTCTGTTCCCATTTCTGAGGGCAGGACCCACTCCAAGCTGTGGGGCAGGAGCCACTCCAGACTGGAAGTTTCTGCTCCCATTTCTGAGGGCAGGACCCACTCCAGACTGGGAATTTTCTGTTTCCCAGTGCTCTGGGGCAGAGCCACTCCAGACTCTGGGGCAGGAGCCACTCCAGGCTGGAAGTTTCTGTTCCCAATGCTGTGGGGCAGGAGCCACTTCAGGCTGGGAGCTTTCTGCTCCCATTTCTGAGGGCAGGAGCCACTCCAGGCTGGGAAGTTTCTGTTTCCCAGTGCTGTGGGGCAGGAGCCAGTCCAGGCTGGGAAGTTTCTGTTCCCAGTGCTGTGGGGCAGGAGCCACTCCAGGCTGTGGGGCAGGACCCACTCCAGGCTGGAGGTTCCTGTTCCCATTTCTGAGGGCAGGACCCACTCCAGGCTGGGAGCTCTCTGTCCCCAGTGCTGTGGGGCAGGAGCCACTCCAGGCTGGGAATTTCTGTTCCAGTTCTGTGGGGCAGGAGCCACTCCAGGCTGGGAGCTTTCTGCTCCTCCATGGCCGTGTTTTGTTTCCATTTGCTGCCTCTGCACTTCCTTTCACAGTTCAGCTTTCAGCNGTTCAAACCCTGTCCAGCCTGGCACTGGGCACTGCCAGGGATGGGACAGCCCCAGCATGGTGGTGACCAATCCATGTCCTGGAGGTGGCTGGACCTTCACACACACACAACAATAAACCAAAGCAGCAAAAAGCAGAATTCCCTGGGAAATGAATCCGTGCTCCCTGCTGGCTCCTGCTGTGGTTGTGTCCCCAGAGTGACATCCTGTGACCGTGTTCACAGGGGTCTGAGGATGAGGGAAGGGATGAGGATCTGACTCCATGTTTCAGAAGGTTTGATTTATTATTTTATCATTTATATTATATTAAAACTGTACTGAAATAGTAGAAGAAAGGATTTTGTCAGAAGGCTGGCTAAGAATAGAATAAGAATGAATGATAACAAAGGTTTGTGGCTCGGACTCTCTGAGCCAGCTGTGATTGGCCATTAATTAGAAACAACCACACAAGACCAATCACAGACCCACCTGTTGCATCCCACAGCAGCAGATAATCAATGTTTGCATTTTATTCCTGAGGCCTCTCAGCTTCTCAGGAGGAAAAATCCCAAGGAAAGGATTTTCCATAAAACATGTCCATGACAACACCCTGTCCCTTTTCCCTGCATTCCCACTGCTTCCCCTCCCTGAGCCTGGCAGCCACCCCCAGCCCCAATTGCCCTGGCAGAGGGGTCTGTGCTGCCCTCCTGGAGCAGCTGGCACTGCCAGTGTGCCATGGAGCTCCTGCCTGGCCCCAGCAGGATCACCCTGCAGGAATTCCGCTCTTCCTGCAGGCTCACAGGCAGGGCAGGGGCTTTGCAGCTCCCTCCTGGCCTGAGCAGCTTTAATCCATGCCCAGCCCATGCCCAGGCCATGCCCACATTCTGATTTATCCCATTCTGAGCTGGCAGCAGAGCCCTGGTGTCCATGCCCTTGCCCAGCAGGGCTGAACTGGGAATGAACTGGGATTGAACTGGGATGGTGGGAGGGGTTTGCTGGCACAAATTGGTAATTTTAGAAAGCTGAAGGTCTAAGCTGGCTCACCTCAGAGCCTGCAGGGATTTCAGGAGAGTCCTGACCCCAATCCAATTAGAGCAGCAGTGGGAAAGTGAGCAGTCCTAGAAACCCCTGAGTGGATTAAGAGGTTGAAACCTGCAGATTGCTCAAAGTGAGTGTGTTTTACCCCAATTGTGCAGAGCTGGGCTGTTCAGACAAAATAGGGAGTCCCTTTGCAGTGAGAGAATTTAATCTGCTGCAATTTCAGATTTAATTCCTGTTTGGGAAGCTCAGTCTGCCTTCATCTGTGAGCAGTGTTTGGTGACAGAGTTAATTTTGGGGATTATTTTCTCCACTGTGGACTCTGAAGAATAAAAATATGTAAAAGGGCTCACCAGGCAGGACAGGAATCCTGTTTGGGTACAAAAATAAATGTTCCAAACCTGCAGATTGCTCAAAGTGAGTGTGTTTTACCCAAATTGTGCAGAGCTGAGCTGTTCAGACAAAACAGGGAGTCCCTTTGCATTGAGAGAATTTAATCTGCTGCAATTCCAGATTTAATTCCTGTTTGGGAAGCTCAGTCTTTTCTCCCAATATTGGTGTTTTTGAAGGGATTTTTCCATCCCTGCTTCTCAGGATGCTCAGCATTTGCCTTCTCTTTTGGGTGGCCTTCAAGTTGAAAATATTAAATTAAAATATTAAAGCCCAGTGTCACTGTCCCTCCTGGCCGAGCACAGCTGGCTCTGCCTTTATGGAAGTGCAAAATGCCTTTAGCATCAATGTTCTCATAAATAATCTGCATTTTATCTCCATCAGGAACACCCTTTCCCCCAATATTGGTGTTTCTGAAGGGTTTTTCCCTCCCTGCTTCTCAGGATGCTCAACATTTGCCTTCTCTTTTGGGTGGTCTTCAATTTGAAAATATTAAATTAAAATATTAAAGCACAGTGTTATTATCCCTCCTGGCTGAGCACAGCTGGCTCTGCCACTTATGGAAGTGCAAAATTCCTTTAGCATCAATGTTCTCATAAATAATCCACATTTACCCTCCATCCTTTTCCCCAATATTGGTGTTTCTGAAGGGATTTTCCATCCCTGCTTCTCAGGATGCTCAACATTTGCCTTCTCTTTCAGGTGGCCTTCAAGTTGAAAATATTAAATTAAAATATTAAAGCCCAGTGTCACTGTCCATCCTGGCTTGAGCACAGCTGGCTCTGCCCTTGTGGGAGTGTAAAATACCTTTAGCATCCATGTTCTCATAAATAATCTGCATTTTTCCTCCATCAGGAACACTCTTTTCTCCAATATTGGTGTTTCTGAAGGGCTTTTCCATCCCTGCTTCTCAGCATGCTCAACATTTGCCTTCTCTTTTGGGTGGTCTTGAATTTGAAAATATTAAATTAAAATATTAAAGCCCAGTGTCATTGTCCCTCCTGGCCGAGCACAGCTGGCTCTGCCCTTATGGGAGTGTAAAATACCTTTAGCATCAATGTTCTCATAAATAATCCACATTTACCCTCCATCCTTTTCCCCATTATTGGTGTTTCTGAAGGACTTTTCCATCCCTGCTTCTCAGGATTTTCAACATTTGCCTTCTCTTTTGGGTGGTCTTCAAGTTGAAAATGTTAAATTAAAATATTAAAGCTCATTGTCCCTCCTGCCTGGTGACATTATCCCTCCTGGCTGAGCACAGCTGCCTCTGCCACTTATGGAAGTGCAAAATACCTTTAGCATCAATGTTCTCATAAATAATCTGCATTTTTCCTCCATCAGGAACACTCTTTTCTCCAATATTGGTTTTTCTGAAGGGCTTTTCCATCCCTGCTTCTCAGGATGCTCAACATTTGCCTTCTCTTTTGGGTGGTCTTCAATTTGGAAATATTAAATTAAAATATTAAAGCTCATTGTCATTGTCCCTCCTGCCTGGTGTCACTGTCCCTCCTGGCTGAGCACAGCTGGCTCTGCCCTTATGGGAGTGCAAAATACCTTTAGCATCCATGTTCTCATAAATAATCCACATTTACCCTCCATCCTTTTCCCCAATATTGGTGTTTCTGAAGGGATTTTTCCATCCCTGCTTCTCAGGATTTTCAACATTTGCCTTCTCTTTTGGGTGGCCTTCAAGTTGAAAATATGAAATTAAAATATTAAAGCCCAGTGTCACTGTCCCTCCTGCCTGGTGTCATTGTCCCACCCACTGTCCCAGGTGGCTCCAAGCCCCAGGGACCCATC